CTCCACCACTGAGCTACAATCCCAGCCTATAAAGTGTGTAAATGATTTAAATAGACATTTCACAAGAATGAAGTACTAATACATGCAACAGCATCAAAAGACCTCAAAACCATTCCACCAAGTAACAKATTAAAGACACAAGGCTATATATTGTACAGTTGTATTTATATGGACTGTCCAGAAGAAACTAAGATAGAAASTAAATTGGTAATTGCTAGAAAGTGGAATTGGAAACAGGAAGTAACTATAAATGTTATGAGGTTTATTTTGTGGTAGTGAAATGTTTTTATAATTTTATTATTTTAGTTGTTGATAGACCTTTATTTTATTTATGTGTTGTGCTGAGAATTGAACCCAGAGCCTCACACATGGCAGGCAAGTGTCTGAGCTCCAGCCTCAATGAAATGTTTTAAAGTCAGATCATGATAATGATTGTTTGACTCTGAAAATTTACTAAAAATCATTAATAGAGCATTTAAGTGGGTATTATATAAGTYATATCTCCAATAAAGCTTGTTGTTTTGGGGGGTACCAGGGATTGAACTCAGGGGCACTCAACCACTAAGCCACATCCCTGGCCCTATTTTGTATTTTATTTAGAGACTGGGTCTCACTGAGTTGCTTAGTGCCTCACTTTTTGATGAGGCTGGCTTTGAACTCACAATCCTCCTGCTTCAGCCTCCAGARCTGCTGGGATTCAGGCGTGTGCTACCATGCCTGGCAAAGCTGTATTTTAAAAGACTTTTTTAGAAATAAACCCATATACCAGGAAGATACAAAAAGGAACCTGCAGGGAGACTTTTATCAAGTGTACGATGTCTTTTGGAAATTTTGGCCATGTCTAGGTATGAAAAATATACCTAGAAAATCAAATGGAGGAATAATAGAATTGGTTTACATTTTGGGAACTAAAGGAAAGTATGAAAAGCAATTCATTTAAAATACAAGCATGAAACAGGGTGAGACGGCACATGCATGTAATCCCAAACACTTGGAAAGCTAAATCAGAAAGATCAAAATTTCAAGGCCAGCCTTAGTAATTTAGCCTAAGCAACTTAGTGAGACTCTGTCTCAAAAAATAAAAGAGTTGGGAATATGGCTCAGTGGTAGAGCACAAGGCTCTTTGTTCAGTCCCCAGTATTGAAACACACACACACACACACACACACACACAGGCATGGTAATGGATGAGTGCATAACTTTCTATTCATTTTGCTACCTATTGATGTCTCTTTGACTATTTTATTGTGTGTCATGTTTTATAAACTGATTTTATCCCTAACAGGATATACTGTTTTTTTTCCATATTCAAACCAGTTCTGCAATTTAGCATTTAATAACTATGATCCATTATGTGGATTTATTATAATATATTTAACTAGCCAGCCATTCTTAATCCTGTGAAGCTGAATTACTCCCAATTTCTATACCGGGAATTTGTTTTTTTCTCTTTCAAAGTAGGAGCACTTAGGAATGTGGCATTAACTTCTACCAAGTAAAATACAAGTAACTATACCCGCCCAATTTTGATATTAGAAGKAGCTAATTTTTAAACCAGTTAGCTGGATTTTACTGATAAGAGAATATTTCCCATACCATAATTCACAGTCTGCCCTCTGGGACACAGTATTTTCCTCACCGTGGTTCTGTAAAGTGCTCAGCCAGATTTCTAAAGGATTGATTTGATATTTGGAAATATGAAAATGGACAAAAAGAACAAAGAGTCAATATATGCTACAACTTAGAAGAACCTCATAAACATGTGAAGGCCAGACACAAAAGGACATTGAATATTATTGAGTTTACAGGTGTGTGCTACCACACCTGGCTGCATAATCCATTTTATAAAACATATACGGTAGACAAATTTATAGATACCAAAAGTAGATTACCAGAAAATGGGGGAGGGAGGAATGGATAGTAATTATTTCATGGATAGTATTTATTTTTAGGGGGCAATGATAAAGTTTTGAAACTAGAGAGAGGTTGTAATTATACAATGTTGTGAACACACCACTTAATTCTAYACTTTAAAATAATTTATTCTAAGTTACATGAATTTCACATCAGTTAAAAAGGGCAATGATATTGTCATAAGAATAGATAGGTAGATCATTGTAGTAGAATTGGGAGTCCAGAAATTAGCCCATACTATTCAATTTGGGAAGAATCGTCCTTTCAATAAGTAGTGCTGGGAAAACTGGATAGTTAACATGCAAAACAATAAAGTTGGTCCCCTGCCTTACACCCTATGTAAAAGTTAGGTGGATGTGGTGGTGCTTGGCTATAATCCTAGCTATTCAGGAGACTGGGACAGGAGGATTACGAATTCAAGGCCAATCTCAGTAATTTAGCAAGACCATGTCTCAAATAAAAAGTGTTAGGGGTGTGGCTTAGTGGTTGACTGCCACACTGTGCCATTTGAAAAAAAAAAAAAAAAAGACCTAAATGTAAGAACTAAAATTATAAAACCTTTAAAAGAAAATAAAAGGATAAGTCTTTGTTTGGCAAGGAATTCTTAAATATTGTATCAATGGCTCAGGCAACAACAACAAAAACAGGC